GAACAATGCACAATATCCAACATCTCAATAGAATCCAGTGAATTTCTAGTAATAATACAAACTCCTCCATGTTCGCGGGTTTTCCGACAGAAAATAGAACCAATTTTAAAGCCCGGAGGCAAAACCGATTGACAATAATGCTCGTTTTTCCACAATTCTGATAATGAGATTATATCTATTTCGTGATCTACAAGCAATTGTTCTATTAAATCCACCTTGTTTCCAATGCTTTGAATATTTTGGAAAGCTATTTTGAGCTTAGGCAGCTGTATTTTTTGGTTTCTTATTCTTTCACCTTGTCTATGTATTTCGTGGCTAAAGAAAAAAACTGTGAGCTGTCATCTAGTTCTGTATATCTAGTTGTGTATATGTTTGGCAATACCTATTTCTATGCTGCAATAAGTTCTTTCCACCATAAAAGAATTATCTGAGGCAGAAGCGAAAATACGAAGTAAGTAAAAATAAAAAAAAACAAGAGAGAGCCTCACAAAAATCGCAAATGAAAAAAAGTATATTCCAAAATAAAATAACGAAGCAGTAAACTATTAAAAAAAGAGAGACGACACAACAAAACACAACAGCGCAAAACTTTAGTCGGCAGCAGTTGGAATATTGATAGAAAAATGTCTCGGAAAAAAAAGTTTTTCGCTGTCGTATTCCTTTTCTAGGTTCCCTGTGATTTTTTTTGTTATGGCAGAGCGGGCAAACTAGCAGCCGAGTCACCTGGTAATAAGTGACTACCGTCATCAATGGAAACCTGCATTTCAAGACATACACGTGCGTTGTCACCCTTTGCATGGTTCTCTCCCCGAAATAGGAGCCAGCGCCCAAACCAGACCGGTTTGGGCTCTGATAACCTCACTCGAATGAAAGCTAAAAAACATTAACATTGATACAATCTATTTACCAATACAATTTATCAATACAATCTATTTGTAATTCTTGAGCAAAACAAAACCTAATATGTATTTTACGTGAATATGTAATTTAATCGACATAGATTACTTAGATTATAGGTATTACGTGTACGATATTAAAACTATTCCCCGAAGTTTACATTGTCGTTAAGTGAACCCAATTTTACCAGAAATCATACATGTGTAGCGTTATCAAATTTCAATAATGCGTCAACAAAATGAAGTTGTGTACTTTTGGCTAGTTATTAATATGTTGACTTAATTATAAATATGGATTTCTGTAGTAAAATAGGAAGAGGGATAACTTTTAAATTGTTGTCAAATGATTATTAGCTTTAATTGAAAAAAGATTTATGATCAGCTAATAATGCATCTAGTTGAATAGTATCGACTTTGCGATAGCTAGATTACGAATGTAGGGCTAAAATTATATTGAGCAGAATGCGTATTAAACAACTCGAATAAATTGCCTGAAATCATTGGACATAAAAAAATGGTAGATTTATTAAGAAAAAGAAATATTTTTTAAGTTTGTTTCCTATATATTCATTGAGTCTCCCACTGTAAACACTGTAAAATAATTTCCTAATCCATGAGGGGCGAACCAGGAGTTCATAGCACAGAGTATCCTAGTTTGGGCTCCTGACTAATCCCTGGACTTTAAACGCAACTATTTAAACACTTTTATGTTCTTACATTTTTTAAATTTATTAGTGGCATTGAAATAAACATTATTATTATTATTATTTAGAACATAAAATAAACTATTATAATTTATAAATATACGCATATAATCTTGGACGCTATCTCTTACGAAACAATGTTACTGATTGTGTTATGAGTTCTATGAGCATACGAATAAAAAGTTTTTTTTTTAAATTATAAACTGAATGGAAATGGAACCTACGGCGTTTGATTGGAGTCGTATTTCGTACTAATATAATACTAGGTGCTAATATATGTGCATATAATTATGTTTACAGAAATCAATGCACTCACGATAGAATATCAAAATACATATCTTTCAATTGCCTGTCGTTTCGACCAGGTTGCACGGGCCGAAGTAATAGGCTGACTATCAGGCTGTGATCACGGCTAGATCACAACTCAAATTATATATGATGGAACGCGATAGTTCCAGAGTTAGTGCTAGGTACTAAGTATGAAAAAAATCTTTTCAATCAAGTATATATATCGACGTGATACTTTAAGAGTTACATTCCGAAAACCATTTTTCATACTTTGAAAATTTCAAGGACATACCAAAGGTTCCAAAAAAATATCTTTTTGTATAAAAACCACGAACAACAAAGCCGGATATGATATGCACGTCATAGGCCTCGTAGCGCATACAACGTGCTATTGACAGCTCAGAACCCCTAGTAATGACGTCACGGACGGGCCTACACGGTACAGGTTTTATTTGAATAGTGACCAGCTCTCTTGTCCCCGTTATTTTATCGCAAATGAATGAATGTGACGTGAAAAGGATTGAATAGGATGACGAATGGAACCAGTTTCAGTTTCCAGTAGCTTTAGTTTTCAACCGACTAAAGGATTGGCTTTAATTTTACATGCGTATATTCTAATTCGACTTCCAAAAATATTTTTTTATGGTTTTATCTGTTTGAGTTTAGGACGATATACAACAATAAATCAAAGAAGCCTAAAAGTTAAAAAAATACATTCAATTAAGTCATTGATTTAGGAAATGAGTTACTGTTTTTGTGTTGTGTAACTCGTAAATAAGCTACAAAATCATACCCATTTCATAAACAAACATGCTGTTCTAATTTATGTCTAATTATATAGGGAAGACCCATTATATAGTTAGTGTTTATCAACTAAATGTATTACCAACGCAAAAAAGAAAGTCAAATCTCTAGTCTAGAACAAAGTGTATATTGATAGACATATGATGTGTCTTTCCTTACTTACAAGAGATGTCAAACTTTACTGCAAAATATTATGTCAAATGCCATTCAACTATTAATGTAAATCATGAAAGCTTAGTATTTTTTTTTATCAATGTTTCAGAATGTTTGAATACACTCTTAACTTGACCGGTCTGTTTTGATCAACTATTTCAGATAATACAATACGAGTATACGTAGATGAAACATAACTTTAAAAATCTTAATCGCCATGTCATTGTTCACGAAAGAATTGAACATATATTTTAACCTATATAGATATTCGTCATAAATTACAATGCCGGATGACAAGACAATACACATTGTTTATTTAGTAAGCTCTTTGGCTGATACTTAATAGTACAACTTATTTACGGTTTTGCGTATCACTTATACAGTAAGGTGCTTAAGGGTGCATTCACATCAGTTGCTAATACATTAGTTAAGATACCTACGGTTGTAATTATGTTCATTGTATAATGTACGGTGTCTCAGCCATGATGTAACATAGGGGTTTCAGTAGTACCTGGTTCCCCAACAACTGGTACCCGAGATGGCGTGCAGTTTTTGGTCGGTTCGAGTCCGACATAACCATCAAAAAAAGGGGTTTCAGTAGTACTGAACGGTCTTGATATCAAAGTAGACAAGTTTATAATATATACAATAGAACATCTCTTTGTCTAAAAATGTAATTTACTTTTGTAGAATAAAAGACTAAAAAAAAAAAGATTGATTCGATTTTCATTCGAAAAATTAATGATAATGTATTTTTTAGTGAAATAAGCAAAGTCTGTGAATGCGTCCTTTAGCGGTCTTATCCTAATTTTAAGTTAAGATTAAGTAACAAGTAACTTAATTTAAATCACTTATAGTGAGACATACATTTTAGAGAATTCGTTTATCTTCATAAAAAAATGCTCTAGTGTCTTTCCTTTGCATTGATCAAATTGGGATATTGCTCTAAATGCCTTAATGTCAAGTACGTATTGTACCAAAAAATACTGCTTTGAACAATTTCTAGTGAGACGCCGTGAATCTAACTTATTTAAAATGTAAATCGCATGCGAATGCATCAGCGAAGTACAAAAATGAGCCGTAAGATTAAAGGCCTTTAATTTAAAATAGCTTAACTTTACTGTTTATATTTAGCACTTCTAAGTTATGAGTAGACCAAGTTGTTTGGGTTTCTGAGTAATTAAATACACTGTTCACTTAGCATATTTGGGTAAAAATACTTTTTGCAGTGCTGGTGTCCTACATTGTTTTGCGCCCTCAGTCGGCTCTTACGACACCCACGAGATGAATTGGGGTAGTGACATTCCGTATTCTTAATCCGTCACTACACAGAGATTTAATCAATGACGCTATGAAAATAAAAGTTTGTTAGGATAAATTTCAAAAATAGAATTTGCATCATCGAATTTAAATTTTCCTAATTAGCAGCGTCTATTTGCAGTTGCAAGTGCATTCTGTTACGTAAGAACGTCTCGACAGTCGGAAATCTTGTTGAATGGTTTTGATTTTTGCATTCGCTATGTACGCGCAAGGCCATTTTCTTTAACTGAATAAAACTGTTGCCACAATACGCACACAGTACAACGCACAATTAGGCTATAAATCCTTCTTAATTATAATATTATTTTATGTTTCATCCTACTTCAAAATTATTTCAAAGGCATCATCTTTATTTAGCTTTAGAAGTTTTTAAAACTTAAATTTTGTTTCTATACTATTATAGATATTTTTTATTATGGGTACTAAAGGAAATATTTAAAAATATTGCATGCTGTTACTTCATGCTTTGAAGAAAGGAAGTAGCATGCTTTTCTTTATTAAAGCTTTTATGCATATTGATTTCATGCATGTCATCTAATAGGATTTTTTTGTTGAAGATGGAATACCGTAGTAAGGAACTTGTAAAATGTATTTTATGTCCGGAATGTCAAAATCATTAAAAAAAACATGTTCGGAAAAGGATTTAAACTAAATTACAAAAAAAAAAAAAAACGGTTAGTAGATAATTTAAAAAGAAAAGAAAAGAAAATTTGAAGAAGGAACCTGTACTGGGATATTTACAGAGTATGGATAGGAAGTTTATAAAAAGGGGATTTTAAGTAAGTAATGGAGGAAAATTTGTCAGTGCTGTCATCATCTAGTGATGTAAACTTACCTAAGCTTGCGTCGTAAGTATTCATATATTCTGACGTCATAAATTGTGACACTAAAGCCGTCTTCCCCACGCCAGCATCGCCGAGTAAAACCACCCTGTATTTTGGGATCTGCGACAGAAATTAACACATTAGACGGTTGTGTAGTTATTTATTTACATATTATACAGGACAGGACATGATAATATTTTAATAATCATTTAAAATACAACAAATTTCATTTTAAAAAGTGGTATACAATTACACCTATTGTAATATTTTGTTTATTATTGTTATTAAAAAAAATGTATTTCATAATACGATAAATAAAAAAGGATCTCTATACATATATAAATAGAATCTAGTATATGTTTCGTGTGTGGTGTTAGGATTTTTGACATATTATTAAAGATCTTTAATTGCATGTACATACTCCATATTTATAATAATTGTTTTTAAAAATATGATGGTACCAATTATATTGTCATTATCACCAACAGCCTTAATTTTTACACTGCTGTACATAGGCCTCTCCTTAGAATGAAGGGTTTAGCCTTCTATATCATGCTGGCCAGACGGGTTAATATAGGATTTGTGTCAAGTTTTCCCTCTCTTTGCAGTGCTGTTGTCCTACTTGGTTTGTTCCCGTTGTCGGCTCTGAATGAATGAATGAATAAGTTTTTTCCACACGGATTTTATTATAATATTTCCATATCAATAATTATAGCAATTGGTCTAGAGGTTACCCATCCTGACTGCTAAGCCGGAGGTCGGGGGCTCGATTCCCACTCAGAACAAATAGTGTGAATGTGTGATGAGCACGATCATTTGTAGTGTGTCTGTGGATGTAATTTATCAATAATGGTTGACGGTAATAGGCTTGGACTTATTACGTAAGTGGGAATAAATTACAATCGGCAAAATATGGACGTTTAATACGGCTCTATATGTATGGTATGTATCATCAATCATCAACAGCCTTTAATAGTCCACTGCTGGACATAAGCCTCTCCTTAGAAAGGAGGTTTTGGCCTACTATACTACGCTGGCCAGACGGGTTGGTATAGGGTTTGTGTCAAGTTTTCCTTCTCTCTGCAGTGCTGTTGTTCTGCGTAGTTTTTTCCCTATATTGTATGATATGTAATAATTAATCTAATATATAAATATTTCGTGTCTCAGAGTTTGTGGTCGCAGTCCTCCGGCCAAGCCGATTTTAATAAAAAAAATTGTTGTAAATTTAGTATTGATGACAATAGATCATAAAGTATTTTTCATCCTGCTTCTCCTCCTCCCCTCCCCTTTAAGAACTCTAAGTATTTTTAATTAATAGAACATAGTAACGTCCATCACTATATGATTAATTTATCAGTTCAAACCATATAATTTAGGCGACATTATTCAAAATCAATTACGCTAATGTAATGCCTGTCACTGTAGATTGACAATATGGCGGCCTCGTAAACCGAACAACGTTGGCCTTTTAATATGTCACGCGAACTAACTCTCTATGGACTATTTAGATGTCGTTTGTCTATGATTTCGTGGACTAAATGTTTAAAGTGTTTTTTTTATGTTCTGTGATAAGTCGTAAACGATCAACTTCGTAACACCCAATCTGTTTAAAATTATAGTTTATGTCTTTTATCGTTAGGTTGTCAAGTTTGGATCAATATAAATGTTGTCTTCTGTTTCTTTTATTACGCCTTTCAGCTGATTAAATTCTTACACTAATTATAAAAAGGCTTGATATTTGTAGACCTAAACCAAATCCAGAATTATATTTAAAAGTTCTGATTTCACTGATGTACAGATCTTTTAGGTACAGATCTTAAAATCTATTCTATATCCTATTTGCAAACAAGAAAACGAGTCACCAACTGGAAAGGGACTACCGTCGCTCATGAACGCCTACTACACAGGAGTCACAAGCGCGTTGCCGGCCGCAGAGGTGAGAGTGAGATCTTTTCTCCAAGGTTTGGAGGCTGTAGTATTATTCCATCATGACTATGCCCAAGTGTTTATTACAAATAAGGCAAACCTGTATAAAAAAACCGGTCGAGTGCCAGTCGTGCGCCGAGGGTTCTGTACCTACTCAGATTTTACGTAGATTTTCGCGAAAACTTGAAAGTACCAAAGTGTACTTTAATTTTCAGTTATTATTTTTTGAATTTTTCCTTCATTTGTGCTTTAAGACCTTGCTTTTTGCCAAATTTCATGACTCTAAGTCAACGGGAACTACCATATTGGTTTTATAACTACCCAAAACCTATAGGGTACTTCCGGTTGACCTAGAATTGTCAATTTTGGTTAAAAGCAAGGTCTTACAGAATAAGTAAAGAGAAACTTCCGAAAACTAAAAAAATTGAAAATTAAGGTAAGTTTTCTAAAATCTAAATGTTGCCTATATCTTTTTATCGTGTTGACTCAGGACCTTGATTTTTATATACCTAATAGGGACTATACACCTCAGTATCTGATATAAATTTACTTGCAAGGTCCACCCGTTCCTGAGAAAATCGGTGGTGACACACGGACAGACAGCCGGACAGTCGGACGAGAGAGTGATATTATAAGGGTTCCTTTTTTTACCTTTTGAGGCACGGAACCCTAAAAAGGATTCTGATCATATTTATAGAAGTATTTAGTATTATATGATCCTCTTTAGTGCCTAATAAATAGTACCTATCTATTTATCTGTTATAATACTTTTTGAATGTTACTATGCCACGGCAACCTGTGTGTAATTTAAATTATCTAGGATCATTAATCCACTTGACAAGTAGAGTGATTAAAATGGCTGGTCTTACTCTATTATCGGTCATTGTTAGGGTTCACAGAGGCTCGAGGGACCATTGTTAACGTTTTGATAAATTTGAAAATGTAACTAAATTAAATTGGTGAATCTAAATAGAATGTAAAACCAAATTAAATGCGACTGTAAGTTGGCTTGCAACGCTTATTTTTTTTTATTCTTCTTAGGATCGTTTCCAACTAAAAATCAGTTGTTCGTATATACTGCAAATGTTTTTAAAAAAATATCAAAATTTGTTACGTCTAAAATTGCCGGTTTTCAAGAATCCTGTAACTAAATTCTACCCAACCCAAACTACAAAATGTTGGTTTGATGATTACGTTTAAATTTTCCTACTTATTTGAAGTGTCAAAAATTTGCTCACATGTTTTGGTTCACAAATATTTCTCAAGACCTACTGTAGCAGCGGCTACGAGGCACGTAAGAAAACTCGTAGCACGCTACGACACACTTGATCTAGTATTTACGTACATATAAATGTAGAGTGGCAGACATTTTCTGATTCGTAGATGTGATTAAAGATTTTTTATTCTCAATAAAAACAAAATAACCTACTTGCGAATAAATCCGCCATGTAACGTGGCTTGTGCCAGAGGGCTTACTACTCAATTCTGGATTACATAGAAGACAAGAATGCTTGGGATTAATTAGCGCAGGCTATTTCTTTCTTAAGTAAAGATGCAGTGTGGCTAGTGTGTTTTTTCTTATTATTATTTTTTCTATTTTTTATGTTTCACTTCATTTTCTCTTCTATTAGTTTTTTTTTCTTAATCTTGTTTTCTCTTCATTGTCTTTTTACCTTTTAGTCCTTAATAACGGACATACTGGCACACATCAAAACAATATTGTGGTATATTTAAAAGTGGTCTACAAACTGTCTACAAAGTCTACAAACAATTAAAAAAAATGAAATAAAGAGAGTTTGAGAACAAAAATAACTTCAAGTATTATACAGGTTCGTCAATATTACTCAATAAATAATGTCGTTGTGCGTAGATAGGTACTAATCTAATGTATTCATTTCCCCGAGGACAAGTTATGTGAACGATGTCCATACATATTGAGCTGATCGAGTTTCGAATACATTAAAAGGGTTTACAATTTTAATGTGCGATGGTAGTTTATTGTATAACTGCGCCCCTTCATAAAAACTACAGATGTATGTATGTTCACTCATAAACAACTAGCATTTGCGCAGGACTTCGATCGGTAAGAAGTTTTCTATCCCTAATTTCAGATTTATATCAACAATTTTTTTTAGGTTTAGGTAAAGCTAAAAATCTAGCTCAGCGAGTATTACGTTGGGTTGTGTGTTACTTTAGTGAATGATATTCTAGATTAAAATTTTTGTTTAGATATTTTTTCTGGATAAAAATACACGTTGTATATAAATAATTGTTTTAGGTTCGGTAACTCTAATATATAAAGTTAAAATTATTATATTAAGGGTATTTTTAAAGGCAAAGAAATGATTAGTATTAATAGCTAGATTTTTACATTAGGACTTTTGATCACACGACGTAACGATTGTATTGTATCAATCGAACTCGATCGATCGTTGTCACGGGGAACTCAGCAATGAAAAATTATTTCCCTTGTTTGATTCCTATTTTTCTAAGTTCTTCATTTACGAAGACAAATTACTTCTATGATTTATGTATGTAATAATGTAGTTAAGCAATGTTTATAAAGTACTCGTAGTTTTATGGTATCTTGTTTAATTATCGAAATCATTACGAATTTCTCTGAAGGATTTGACTGCACGGATGTCATAGTGGTTTAAGCGGTCACCTCGCCGCTTACTACCTCCCTGAGTGTTGCGGGTCCGATCTAAACATGGGATGACACTTTGTGTGATCCACAAATAGTTGTTCTGAGTTTGGGTGTTCTTTGTGTCCGTTTCATGTATGTTTGTAAAGTCCCGCACGATACAGGATATATTCCTAATGCGGGAGTTGTCTTAAAAAAAAAACGATATGCAACGTTAAGAAAAAAAAACATTTTTTTTACCATTTTTCGATTTTTGCAAGAACCAATTAATGAACTCAAAAATTCTCATTTTGAGACCTTGGCCCTACAAGAACAAGCAGCTATGATGGGTTAGTGAAGTTGAACATAGAAAAAGAAATGTCAAAAGATTTTTTAAAAAGACCTTAAATCTGACGCTGACGAGTATTAGGATGCCTAAAAGGCTATCAAATATAAATGCAAAGAAGAAGAAGAATAAAGAATTTTTAGATTTGAAATAGTAGTTCCTGACTTTAGCACGAAAAAAAACATATAAAGACAACAAACAAAACAAAAAAAAAAACAAAAAAAATTTAGTTTAAGATATAAGAATTTTACAAAAATAACAATATATACAAATGTAACGTACTCGTATATGCTATGTAAGGTATTAAAAAGTCTAAAAAAGAGCGAACAAAATTGATATTCTAGGCATTAATACGTGGAAAGCTAGACACAGACAAGAGAATTGCTTTTTCCTTTAATATAAATTTAAATTAGACTCAACTGGTGACAAGAAGTGAAATTTGACGAACAAAATAGCCGTTTAAGATAAGAATTTTTGTGTAACGCTCTTTATTAGATTTATGGTTATCTTCGTGAAATTGTGTTTTAAAACTTCCAACGACTTTTTTTAGCACAGGGTCTTGAAATAAACGGTTAAAGATTTGAAAACATTTACAAAAGATGTGTAAATAGGGCGTTGCCAACCCTATTCCTTTCTCACGATTTGTCGTTAGTAACATTGCTTTTATATTTTATGTCTATTTCTTTTTTTTTAAGTAAAAGAAAAAAAACAGGTTAAAAGGGTATATATAAATGTATTATATGTATGTATATAACTCAGCAAGTGTATGTGTAAGTATGTATGTGTATCTCAGTCTGTATGTATGTATATCTGTCACACTGTTTCTGTCCATAGCCTTAATTTTTATGATCTCGTTACACATAAAACTTAATTTCTAGTGCACTCAGACATTACCCCACCACCCAAAGGTAGGCTTGGAGGAAATACCTGTGGCATTAAGTCCGCCATTGTACAATGAATTGGTATTTGTGTAAAAAGAATTAAATAAAACAAAAATAAATAAATTAAAAGTTTTAATTCATTGTGTGTGTAAATTAATTGTAATATTCTTCATCGTTTAATGCAATGAAGAATATAACTTATTTAAGGTATTAAATATTCTTTTAAATTGAATAAAACCATCTTTAAGTATATACAAATAAATTCAATATAAATTCATTTTTTTATTATTGAAGTTGGTTCACAAATAACGAATATATTGAGAGAACTTACACAAATAAAAACAATCGAATTGAAAACTTCCTGCTTTTTTGAGAATAGCGCAATTTAATTAGTTTTTATTTAAACCTAAATAGTTTTATACCATTAATATAGGAAAAAATAAATAAAACAATTTCAATAATATTTACGGTTGTAATGAGAAAAACTTTCTGCAAACTTAATGATGTCTGGTTTATACAGTTTAAAGAGTTGACAGTCTAGTATGATCTCCTCTTTGAACATATAACAACCTGACTGTTGACCAGATAAGTTCTAAACAATGCACTTACCGGATCTAGTTCATCTTCATCTGGGGTGTCTAGACTTGCCGAGTCGACAGGCCGATACCCTGAGCAGCAAGAACCGTCGAAAGGCGATCTATCCGAGGCCCTGACGACAATAGAAAACTCATTTATTTTCAACTGCTGATAGTTACTATTAATAACATAATATTATGCATATCAATGTACTCCAAAATCTGGTATGGTATAATGAGTTATAGGAGTATTTTTAAATCCTACCTAGGCTAAAACTTTGAAATCTCCCCCTTCCAAACAAAAACTAAGTTCAGTTATCGTCTGCTTACGGAACAATTCGTCAATGATCCAAAGCATCCTAAACGACATATGGCATGATATACAAATAATAAAAATAATAATATTTCGGACATCTGACACACAACGCCATCTAGTTTCAAACTAAGCAGAGCTTGTACTATAAAAGCTAGATTGACTGATAGAACACTTGTATACTTTTTTGTTATAAATATATACATATCATACATAGAAATTAGAAAACATTTAAACTCCGAAATAAATATTTGCAGATCATACAAACATTTGTCTACGGTGAGCGTAGACAATCTGCACTACACTGGGTCACCTGATGGCAAGTGAGCACCGCCGCCCATGGACATCTACAACTGAAGAGTGCGTTGCCATCCTTCAAGTGCTCTCACTCAGAATTATTAAAGCTGGACCTCTGATAACCTCATTAATTAGGTGAAAAACAAGAAAATAATTGTTTATCGTGACAATAGTCAGGTCGAAGCGTCCCCTTTGTGCCTACGCATGGCTCGACCCGCTACTCCTGTTAATACTTCAAGTCACACATACTCGTATAATTTTCTTTAATAATGAAACTTTGAAAGCGGTGAGGCGAAAAGCCGATATACATAATGTATATTGACTTGATGCTTTCATGCGTGCCACTTACTGGATAAGAGTACTCTCATATGTATTGAAATGGAAGCGACGATAATATTGACATGTCTGGCGAGGGCAAAATAGTAATTTATGAATGTAGTAAAACGGATATGTGACAAGACGTAAGTAATTGTAGGGTGTCTTATTTATTTCCATTTAAATTAGTAAATTCCGAATAATAAGTGAATAATATCAATGACATTAGAGTTCTATTCATGTGTATATTCCTTTATCTCTTTTAATTGCCTAATAATATTAATTCGGTATGTAAGTGTCTAAGTGTCCCGCCACACCGCCCGACGCTGCCGCTATTCGTTCTGCGCGTTTCGCCGATCGTCCGGACAATCGCCGCTACCGTGGCATGCCCTGTACTTTTCCATACATTTGTTTTAGCCGCTATACGCTCCGATGTTCGCACCGCGCGAATTATCGCTGCAGCAAAATGTCCTTTAGCAAGGCCGTAGTAGCTGTAGTCTGTTGTATACCTATTAATGGCGTTAATTTAATTAAAACAATACCGTGCGAGAACTATGCTTCGACACAAATGAATTGCTAGTTATACCACGACCTAAGTTATGTAGTTATTTCGTTTTTTTTTTTCACTGAGTGAGGTAGGTTACCGGAGTAGCCCCTACCTAGTTCTGAAGGTTGAGACTCACTTACCATCAGGGCCTTAATTCTGCTATTTTATGTTAACGCTAAGCCACTGTCATTCCATTGACACGCTATTGAGATGCCATTGAGACGCCATTGACATCGGTCAAAATATCAGTATTCTACTAACATAAATTCACAATGTCAATAGACTGTTGATATAGTAATATAGGTCGTCAATGGTGATATCAACAACATTGCCATACCTGGCAAATTAAATATATAATTTTCTTACATATTTAAAATGTACCGTTTACCAAACTGTTACAAAGACATCGACGACATTTGTATCAGTGACCAGTCATCGTCATTGGCCATTGGTCTTACATAGTTAGTAGAATAGGAAAAGTGCAAAACTATTCCGACGATATTCCACTGACAGTCTATTGATACAATATAAAAAAAGCAGAATTGAGGCCCAGCTGACAGGTCTGCTCGTAATACTCGTTTACCCTCTATACCAAAAAATATATCTATATATTTCTTCTTACTGTAAAGTTTAATGAATTGAGAAAAGTAATATTAATGAATTCGTGTCGGGGCGTAAAAACTTTTCTCACGCTAAGAAAGAATAGAATAGAATATATTATTTATTTCATAAAGCACAGCACACAAAAATAAAACAAAAGTTAAATAACAACATACACAAAGAAACTAAAAATCAAGTAAGGTTTGATAAACAAGGCAACATTTTTCAATGTGTCAATCTTTCGTACCCGACAGAATTGACATATAACGTCAAAGTGCCACGTATCTAACCATGCGTCTATGAAATGTTACTTATAATAACTATTACTTATCAACTTATGTACCATAAAAAAACCTTTAATGTTGCTGAGGGTTGTACGCCGTGTTTCAGAATACTTTTCTTTATCCTTGTCAGTACAATATATTAGACTATATGATTATTATCCTTACAAACTGGTGTATACCTTTAAATGACTGACCATCTATGTACATTTATCTAAAATATAAGGGCATTAATCTTTAAAAGTACGAACATAAATGTCGCTCCAAGTTATTTATTTCTAAGCGTACCTCTTTTAAGTGAATTGCTATTGTTTCGGCCGCAGCCTGAGTCATTAATCTTATTTACCTCACTTTTAGATACATGTGCCTATAAAAAGCTTACTAAGACCGGAGTGAAGCATTGAGAAATTAAAAATAATAGCACTATATAATTAAGCATGAACACATAGATGATGATGCCTGGCGGACCGTAGCTTAACGACTGATGTTGATGGATGCATTTCTCCTAATCGACCCGTAAACTTTTAATGTGTGATACAGGACAAGTCCTGTTTGTGTAGTTTGGGTTTTGCCGCTAGATGGCAATGATTTACTGTTTCATTTTATATGGATATCGACTTACACGTCTCCTTTAACAATTCATTCAGCATGACCTTTTTTTTAGTCATGCTAAAAATAAGATTATGCTAAATGAATTGTTTAAAGCGATAACTAGCGGTAACCATTTCCTTAGCCTGTGATATAAACTTAAAAAAGGTTTTTGCTGTATCTTACAACTATATTTCAGTAATGGCATTGTATATTCAAGTAAAAGGTTCATGAAAAAAGGTTTATGTCATAGAAGATTATGTGTTACCCTCATTTTTGACAACACGTCTTTTGTAATATTTGTCTTGTGGCAAAACTAATAAAGCCTTGGCCACTCTAGGGCCAAATTTCTATCTGCCAATACCGTTATAAATAAAATTATAAATATGGGCTCTAAATGGGATTAAATTCGGCTATGTGACCTAATTAGATCGGCACACGTGTAGTGCACCGTTGACGGGAAGGGTCGACTGTGTAGTCCCTACTGGTGAAAAGGGTCAAAACGTGATGTCACGAGTGTGTGTAGATTCGATAAACAAAAACGATTTATTATATATTTAAAAAAAAAACTTTTAAGGGCAACCGCTTAGTATCAAGTAATCCAGAACTTTCGCTTTTGTTGACTTAGTATGAAAAAGTTTAATGCCTAAAACAAAAAAGTAAATAAAATAAATTATTGTTCATTAATTAAATTTTGACTAATTTAAATTAATTAATTAAACAGAAAATTACTTGTACTTAACTGACTGATTCATCAGCGCAGAGCCTAAACCGCTGGCGCTACAAAAGTAAAATTTTGACATCTGATGCTTTTTATTTCTTTAGTACCCACACAAAAGATTTTTGGAAATTTCACCCGTAACTACTTAAAATAAGGGATGAACCTTCGTCATTTCCTAAGTTAAAAAACAACACGAGAAGAAAGCCGCGGATAAAAGCGTGTTAAATTATAAAAAAAAAGTATCACTGGCTTCAGAGCCTACATCACGATGAATTTTAATGCATTGTTTTCTTCATTCCTTAATTTTTTACCTTTAGTGGTAGATATTTGTTCAAATTTAAATGGAATGAATTTGAATTTTAATAAACATAGAAAAATGCAACTGAATTCAGAACCTTTTTTGAAATCGGTTAAAACAGTAAAGTAGTTTGTTGTTGCATTATACTACGAGTATACACATAATATAGTGTCGTCTTCAGTCATATTTGTTCCGTCGATACATATATGTATTTGTTCAACCTTTCCAAAGTCGATAAATGAACTCTAAGAAAACATGTTCCATCTACAATTTAATAAAATCCATCTCAAGGTTGTCTGTGAGACACCGCAGTCTTCGATAAGCCGAAATTTTTACAAATTGATTGTGTCTTATGTCTACCTTTTAAAATATTGAAATTATTTATAAATATTCTTGTATTATTGTTGTCCATCTATTAACGTTTGGATCAGTGTCTGACAACAGCGAATAGTTCAGTTTACTCCAGAATTGGGAGAGGGCTACAGCTACGGGTACCTACCTCTCTCACTCGGTGCAGTAACGAAAGAATTACTTAATACCGGTTTTCTGTGAAGCCGTGGTTTCAACCCGGTCGAGCAACATCAGCCAATTCGAAGGTATGTGTGTATGTAGGTAGGTATGTACTTAAGACCTATCGTTAGCGCGTTAAGTCCCGTAACACAATTAAATAGCTTATCATAACTTATTACGCTTTTGAGACAGATCAAGCTTAATACCCAATTACGCTACAGATTGGGTATTTCAAATAAATATATTACTCTCGAATATTTATTAAACCTACCGACCCATAGTAGCCTAGCTTGGCTACTACATATTATCATCTAACAAGACGAGCCAAGCAAAGCGCAAGGACACTACCTACCTTTTCTCGAAGCACATCGTCGTTTTGTTTAACCCTCATAACTTGGGTTTGGATTATACCAGATAAACAAAATTCTCGGGATAGCCACATACTTTGACTAAGGTATAGACTTTATAAAGTTACGGCTTATAAAGTTAGGGTGAGTAGAGTTAGTAGCTTGGTTCTACATGATATCTAATAACAATTTGACAGTGCGAGCCATGTTATGGTCTCGTCTTGTGAACATTTTACATGTTAATGTTTTTGGTGGGATTATATATACAATAATCCCTTCCATACTAAATAATTTCCAACTCAATAGATAGTTTACAAGTACAAACAGAGCCTACACTATAGTTATACCAAGTACTAACCACAATTCCTTACCCCATAAGTAATTGCGTCGTTCATTGTTAGTATGAGACGAATAAGGGAGCAAACTACGCAGGACAACAGCACTGCAAAGAGAAGGTAAACAAACCCTATATTAGGCCTAAACCTCCTTACTAAGGAGAGGCCTATGTCCAGCAGTGGACTGTTAAAGGCTGTTGGTGATGATGATGATGATTATTAGTATATTTTTAATTAAGTATAAATAAGAGTGAGTATTGGAAGTAGAAGAAGAGTATAAAGAAGAGCGAAGCTTAGGTAAGACATGCTAAATAGGTGCTCAGAGGTAGTTCTCGTAGGCCTCATATAACACGTGGGTTTTTAGCAAGCTAATAAGTTTGAAATATGTATATTTTACCTTCTATAATTTTAATAATTTTTACCTTTTATTGTATCTATCTATAAATAAAACATTTTTATTATATTAACTAAGGTTACATAGGATCATAAAAATAAAATACCAGACCGATGATTTCGCATCACGCTCTAGATATTAATTAGGCATGAACAAAATTACCTATTTTTAACGTCAGCAATATTACAAGTTTTTTCGTGGTTTATGGTGCTATATGATATATGGATCTTTCGATCATTGTGGCCAGATTATTACCTACCACCAGGCAGGCACCCTGCACCAGGCTAATTGGAGCCCTAAGGCTACAAATAAGAAATCTTTCTCTAGTCTTATCATTGGCAGCTATAATAGAATCAGTTGTCCTTATCTCTGGTCCAGTAATATCAGTTTTGTGTTAAGATTTTCGTGCGATTCTCCGGTTCGGAGGATTTGATTCCCGGTTAAAGGAAATTGTGGGAAATCAAACTGCCAGTGTTATCACGACATCAGATCAACTTGTATACAAATGTCTTGAAACTTTATTTCAAATGTTAGTTAAGTGGTCGAGTACGACTAATGGAATACACTTTTATTATTTTCATGAAAGTCTATTTTTGAGGTTTACCCACATGCTATTTCCATCAACAAAAGTTACCATAAAAGAAAATTATGATGGATAAGGCATAATTGCCTTTTGTGTTCCATATTCATTACCTTTTTTTTTCGGTGCGGAAATCCCCTCGGATACCACTTACCTGTGGCAATGTCGGACTCGAACCGACTTAAACCGCACGCCGTCTCAGGTACCAGTAGTCGGGGAATCAGTGTACCCTAGAAAAGAAATCCCTGGTGCCCCGACGTACCTCGGGCCATCTACGACGGGTAGACGACCCCTCCTATGACATATTCTTTACCTTGACTTTGAAAATTAAACTGTTAAAATGCATACTTATACAGTTTTATACTAAAAATTGTTTTTTGTGATATAAAGTGTAAACGAGCATTCGGCTCACCTGATGGCAAGTGACTACCGCCATTTATGAACTCCTGCAACTCAGGAGCCTAAGTACTCAGGAACTTGAAGGTTTGGGGGTCGTATCGGTCCCAAAATACTGTACTTTTTATCAAAGTTTTCTATATACCTATTTTTTTTGACAATTAGTGAACCTAAGCAATATTCCTCAAATTAGTTGCTACTCGAGGATATTAATTTTTTTCACAGCTATTAAGGTTATTAGATGGGCGGGATACTGATTTATTGTCGACAACATGAGTTAATTTTTCATTCATTCATTCATTAATAAATTTGTTTCAAATGAATTTTGTTCTGAGTGTTTGTTTAGTATCGTTTTTTTTTCATTTGAAACGTAACACCGAACGTAAATTTCATTTAAATAGTATAAAAATAATATTAGTATGTGTCGAGATGTTTGTCATTTATAAAGAGACAGAATAAAATGAAAATTGACTGTTAACATTTTCTTCTTAATCTGTGTCTGCTTACGGCATTATCCGCTTTATTAATTAGCCTGAAAACGTCTTCTAATGTCTTAGTAATTATGAGCTATTACTCATTTTTTTAGGTTTCACCGTTAATAGTTTTACGTTCTAAAACATTATATTGTAACATAAGTTTTAGACGTGAAAATCATCAGCCTTGTCATTTTAAACACTTCCTCACCGGGCGGGTTCATTCACCTTTAAATCTATTGTCGTTAATGCTAATAGCTTGACGATCGATCATACGTCAACCTGTCACCTTTTATGGAAATTGTACGAGTCACTAACTAAGGAGGTAAAATTACGCCTTGACTGTACAATTTTAGGGTCAATAACCTAACTGATATTAAAAATATTTATTCAAGACGTATTCGACATCATTGCTCTAACTATGACATTCTAAATCACAATTTCGGATACGAAAATGATTTATTGAAAAAATAACATACATTTCATGAAGGAAAATAGTGTTGTTCCTTAATAAAGAAAAATATAAATTACTGTGGTTTCACCACAGAAAAAGCTAGTGAAGATGAATACTTATTTCCCAAAAAAAAGATATAATTTTAATACGCAATTAAATAATTAACTGAGAAAGTTCAAAAAAAGTCTGTTGTCAGAAAAGAAGATGATTTGACACTAAAGTTATGGAAAATGAATACCGGAGTTGGCAAACTAGATTTCGAGGTTAAGTGATTTTCTAGTATACTATTTCATAGACAGGTATAACATAACATAAATAATGCTGGTGGCTCACTTTGCAAACGTCTGGTCCAGTTTTTTATTTAATAAATCTTACCGTTCTCAGATTGATAACTTTCCTGTCATGTTCTTGGTTAATTACTTAGAACACAGAGTTTTTTCCTATCAGTATTGCAAAAACCAATGTAATTAATCTTTGTGATGTTTGATGGGGAAAGAGCGAATGAGGAAACAAATTTATAAGTTCTCCCCAGTGAGCCGACAAGCCGGAGAGGGTAGGCTCCGAAATACATAATATATACTGTTCAGATGGGTAATATACTGAAAAAGGGTCGACGAGTTTATGTGAAAGATCTGATGTGGAGTATACAAGCTGTATGTCACGACTGTGAAAAATTACAGTTCATGGTAACTGCTAAGCCGGGATGGGAATAGAAATTGTATATATGTAGATGTTAACACAAGTCATATTGAAAAGATAATATTCTACCAACACAAGATAAATACATTTTCATCTTGTAGTAGTTGTGTATAATGTAGTCGGCATAGTTATGCAATGTCAGTGCGCAGGAACAATCAATAAATACCTGAAAGTGCTAGACATTAACCTATTAAAAAAATTAAGAAACAACTGTTCAGATTGCTGAAGAAGTTTCTACTCTATTTATGAATATTTAAATTACAAATTCAAATAGTATTATAGAGTTGTTTATTAGTCTGTTGATTGATCTTTCGTAATATTTGGTAATTTAAGTTACGTAATTTGTAATTAGTTAGTAATTTTGTAGGTAAGGTAAATTATTAGTGATTTGCATGTCATGAGTTAAAATAGCAAATTTTTTTTTTTAGTGTGTTTACAGTTATTACCCCAATTAGCAAATTAAGGAATTTAATTGAATTGAATAAACTACTGGGATATAAAATGTACTATAAAAGTTTCGTCGAGAGGAAAGGAAGCCTTTCAAAGATAGGACACCCATACAAACCCATTCTTCCTTTCATTTAAATATAAGTTTGAAGTTATTCTGCCATCAGTTCAGCTATTTTCAGTAACGTCAGGTGTTTATCTGTAAACATCTGACGTTTTGACACAGATAATTTTGTAAAAAAATATCGTTGGAGTAGGAAAAATCATAATAAACGAATATTGTAGTACTGATTATAGCGATAACAAATTATTTGAATGGTAAACTTAATTGTGATGAAGAAATTGACTATGAATTTGAATACAGATTTAGACAGAGTGCTTCAAACCATTTAAAATGATTATATATCGTATTTACATATTAGTCAGTCCCACTGGGTATACTTATATGTAAAAGGTTAATTTATTATGTAACTGTTTATTGTATTATAGAAGATATCAAGTAATCCAGCAGGAATTAGGTTTTAATGAAGTTTATTTATTTCGTAACCGTGACTTAAAGTACTAAAAAAAACGATAATGACCATCAAGCCTGTTGTTACTTTCGTAACACACATCTATGATTACTATCACTGATGCGTAAAGATTGGTTGCAATCTTTTGATTTAAATTATGTATAAGAAGTAACACAACTTATAATCTACCAAAGTGTAACATAGTCTTTATTTTATATCAGAGGGGGCAGACGTGCAGACGGGTCACCCGATGGTAAGTTACCATCGTTGCCTATGAACGTGTGCAGCTCAGGAGTCACAAATGCGTTGCCGGCCTAAATAAATGTAATGTAATTTAGTAATAAATCTATTTAATTTCCTGAAGTGTGTGGAATATTGGAAAACTGGGTCAGAGAAATGAGTCACCAGACTTATTAGTTTTATCTACTCGTGCATTAATTATAAATACAGGTTACGCAGAAATATTAATTAACCAAGCGGTATTTATCAAAAACTATGATTAGATATGGTGCTCATTAGTTTTGAATGATATAAGGTAACTCATTCTGGTGATTTATTGGTTAGGTACTAGTAGAACATTCACAGCGTTATACACACGATATGGCACCTCACAGGGACTAAATGACAAGGTCAAGGTATGTTGGACCAGAAAGCCAATTCTCGTAATAAAAATTAGGTCCAAATTCAGTGCCGGCCTACTCTTGATGTTACAACTGTCACAAAAGGTATTTTGATGATCTTTTATTATGTACGTCAGATTTCTTTGTATTCTTCCCTAAGCAAAGGTGTTTACATACAAATTAATCTAATATTATGTATGTTTATAAATAAATATATATACATCAAGGTAGAAGTGCAAAAAGCCAACACTAAAATTTAATGACTTATGGTTGAATTTTGACCACCGAGCGATTTCTAGTCCACAAGGACTAGAAATCGATATTTATTTCACATCACATCACAGCAACAGCCTTTACTAGTCCACTGCTGGACACAGGCCTCTCCTTAGAAAGGAGGTTTTGGTCTACTATACCACGCTGGCCAGACGGGTTGGTATAGGGTTTGTGTTTGCCGTAGTCGCGGAGCCCTATTTTGTCCCTCCCCGTCCAAACTGGATGGGTGACCGGGACGGCTCCGTGGCAGTCGTAGGCTCCACGGCGGCTCATTCCCCGCCCTTGTCGCTAAGAGACAAGGGTACTGGATATGTTGCCGCCGATTGGGGGGGAATCACCATTTATGGTGTATATTTCTCCCCCAACCGGAGTTTGAACGACTTCGAGGTCTTCCTTAACAACTTGGAGGCCTCGATGCGGCGACTAGTGTCTGGGCACGTCCTCGTGCTGGAGGACTTTAACGCAAAGTCCATTGCGTGGGGTTCCCCTGCGACGGACGCCAGGGGCGAAGCCGTCGAGGAGTGGGCGGCGTCGGTGGGCCTCTGTTTGCTGAACAGAGGCTCCACCAACACGTGCGTGCGACAGCAGGGGGGGGTCGATAGTGGACCTTTCGTTCGCTACCCCTGCACTCGCCGCACGAGTAAGGAACTGGTGTGTCCTGGAAGAGGTCGAGACGCTCTCGGATCATTTGTACATCCGATTCGAGCTCTCCCGGTCCCAGGACCCCAGTAGGGGTCACGCGGCGCGGCGCCCTTCCCGCTTCGCGCGGTGGGCTATCGCCAAGCTCGACAGGGACCTACTAGAGGAGGCGGCCATTATTCACTCTTGGCTGTCTCCGCAGGCCCCGACCGAGGAGGTCGACATGGGGGCTGGTCGCTTCTG